AAAAAAAAAATTATATATGTGTAACATGTTATGAAAAAATGAAACTTTACTTTACTTGTAGCTTTTTTTTAAGACTATGTACAAAAGCAGCTTCTTTTTTATATTAGGTTTTATTTCATACCAAACTTTGAGTACATTAACATTGATACAAATGGTAAATAAATTAAGAATTTAATATACTTTTTATGACCATTTAAACTGTAGTTGATTTAGACTAAGAAGAAATAATACACTTCTCCATTTGATTACAAAACAAGAAATTATTATTTTAGGCTATAAAGTAGCAGTAACCATGTAAGCATAAACAAATACTGTTAATTCAAATAATAAAAAACAATTTAATTCTATTTACTTAAGCTGATTTGAAATGAGATCCACAATCCCTTAAGATGTTCTTTGGTCTCTTTATGTTTCTAAACAAAGCATAAAAAATAAATGCCCTTTTAACATAAAACGATAGTTGTACTGTAAAAAAAATTTCTTCCTTCATGTTTCAGCATTCATACATAACTTTTTCAGAAAAAAAAATCTATATATATATATATATATATATATATATATATGCTAGTTTACTATTGAATTTAAAAAATAACACTGTGAAAAGACTATGAACATAATAAGACGAAATAATGTAATATCGACTCGAAAGCTTATCAAGTGGATTTCAAATAAAATCTTACTAATAGTGAAATCTTTTCGATTAAGATAAAATTTTAATAAATATTTTTATGAACCTCAGGTCCTATCTCCCCTGTTTCTCTTATAGTTTAATTCATACATTTTGGAAATGTTTCAATTCTGCTCAAAATATCTTTTCAATGAAACAACAATTAAAAAAATATTTTTATGAACCACAGAACAAGTGTTCATCCATATTCTTCGGAATTATTTAAATTCGGCACAAAATATCTGTTTCGAAATATTTTTTTCTCTTGCCAGAACCAGTTATAATGATTTTTGAAAAATTAAACATTTTATTCTTCTCAAGGGAAATTCTATCTTTTTTTTGCTTTAAAGAACTTTTCTTGAACTAAAAATTCTTTTAGGTTTAAAAGAAAAGTAGAAGTAAGTTGAATAAAAAATAACTGCTTTAGAAACTAATTCTTTATGAAAAAAGGAAGAAATTATAAAATTAAAACATGTGTTTCTCATTAAAATGAAGCACTTAGTTTTGGAATTAAAATTAGCATAATTAATAAATAAAATTACTTTAGAAGTAAAATCTAAACAGAACTTTTTGGATACTAAGTTAATTTTTGCATATATCATTAATAACATTTGTAATTAACCTATAGATTGTTAGTTTTTATTTCCACAATACATAATAATGTATCAGACACAGAAGTAATGATATAGTTTTTTAAATGTATATTTTAAAATTATTTTACTACGTATTGTAGTTTGTAAGTAAAGCTATAATTTTAAGTAATTTAGAAATATTTTGTAAAATAATATGAATATTATTAAAGAGAGTATTTTATGGAATGAGTTTGTTTCTAGTTTATTGTCTCATATCCGTCTTGACCATTTTTTTCGCTAAGATAAAAGTATAGGGTTCATAAAAATATAGGGTTTCGGAACACAAATTTATGAAATGAGTGATTAAATTTCTATTGAGTTAAATTTCAATTTTTCATCAAAATTAAAAAAAATATTTTTGTTTTAAATTGTGTTTTTGTTTTAGAGTGTGTTGTTGTATTTTGCTTCAAATTGTGTTTGTTTGTTTTTCATTGAGAAAACGTGGTAATTTTAGATAGTTTTTGAAGCACTTTTATAATTGTACCCATGTAATTCTGGAATCACCATGGTTTCCTATTCATCTCAGACGAATTGCAAAATTGTTTCAAATCTGTGGGCATATTTGAAAATCAGCTTGTCAATGAATAGAAAAATTGGTGAATCGTTTTATCAGGGTATTTATAACTGAGTGAATAGGCGAATTAGTGAATCCGTTAATGATGAGAGAGTCAATCGAATTGGCTTATTAGTGCATTTTCGAATCAGTGACTGAGCACATTCATGAAAAAGCGAATAAGCAAATAAACGAATCAGTGAATCGGCCAATCATTGAAGTGCAATAGTAGTGAATATACAAATCAGTGAATTATTTTATCAGTGAATTTTTGAATGAGTGCATGGGTTTATTAGTGAACCCGCTAATCATGAGAGAGTCAGTCGAATAGACTTATGGGTGCAGTTCTGAATGAATGAATGAGAGTATTTGTGAAAAAGTGATGAATAAGTGAATGGGAGAATCAGTGAATTTGCTAATCATTGGATTGTCATAGCATTGAAATCAGTTAATCACTGACTTTCTTGTTTAAAACAATTAGTTAAACGGGGCATTTCCTCAAACAAATAAAAGCTCAAAAACAACAGCCGTAGCCGTTGTGGCTCAGAGGGTAGAGTCTCACAATGAGGCTACCTACGTTCACACCCTAGCGATAGCTGGCCCATGTGTGAATTCCGGGCACAATACTGATGTAAAATATCTTCAGTGTCAGAATTCTCCTTTTTTTCGTCGGTGTAATTAGGGAAGGTTTGCATAGTTTTACTCTCCATTTCACGAAAATAAGGTTTAGTTCATCAAAATATGTCGTCAGCAAAGGCTAGCTTGTCCAAATGCCTGATCCAAAAGTCAAAATGTGTTCTGGGTTCGGTTCAAAATTACGAGACAACAGAGTTGTACATTGGTATTTGTAAAACCACAAATGTGGCAGCTGCTCAAGCTAAACTTAGTTGCATGACGGCCCATAGAGGCTCAAAGCTTACTGCGCCCATTTCAGTTTTCTTGACCTTGGGTTCTGGGGTGCAGGAACAGATGTTCCGGTCAGGTGGTCAGCCGAACGCGGAACCCCCAGTGTTTAGTTCCCAAACAAGGTTGGTACTCATTTATCGATCCCCTGAAGGGATGAAAGGCTGAGTCAACCTTGCCTGGCCCGAGGATCGAACCTAGGGCCTGCGGCACGGGAGCACGAAGCGCTACCACTCAGCCACCGGGCATCGCCGGGTGGCTCAACACCGGTTAAAAAGCTGACTCCCACATTTTTTTCTGATTTTAATTTTCAAAGCAGAGCCAAAATAATTTTAGTTCCGTTATTTATTTTCCTTTAAAAATCATACTGCTCATTGAAATAAATTTATTTTTATTCGAAATTTCATTTGAAACATGCGTAATGAAAAAACATTATGATTTATTGAAACATTACACCTGAAAGTTAATTTTTTGCAATAACGCTTTTGTGTTAGCACAATTATGTCTGTGGTAAATAGTTTTCTTTTAGGCAGGAGTTAACAAAAGATCCCAAGTCAATTAAACTTCGCAAGAAAATATTATTTTACTAAAAGGCCGAACATATCAAATCTGAGGGTATATAAAAATAACTCCCTGGTTTCTTTTTTCACACGTTTCCCAAGAGTATTGTGTCTCACCGGCTCGTAAACAATAAAATATGACTTATGGTGCACGAACATCTCGTGTTTTATGCAACCTTTTTTATGTTTTACCCCATAAAAAGAATGAATGGAGAAAACTGTCATATTTTACCGAGTTCAGGCTTTTAAGGAAAAGTAGTCGGTATTATGGAGAAAATAAAATGG